GATGACCCACAGAGGTCCCTTCCAACCCCTACCATTCTGTGATTCTGTAAATGAAGCTGCAGACCCAAGGCTTCAGAATTCTGATTTTTAAAGTGCTTTTTAGGTTAAAATAGGACTTGAGCATAAAAAAAGTAAACAAATATCAAACCTTTTAACCAAAACCAGAAATTGTTTCCTGTGAAAGAGTCAGCTTGTTTCTGTTTTTATAAATCAACCAATAGTTAGCTAAATGCCTATTTTCTGTAAAACAAACTAAATTTTCGAAGATGGATAATATCCTTAAAACCTTGCACACAACAGCAGGTATCTGAACAGAAATCCGTGGGCGTGCAGCTGGGGTTCTTGCCGACAGGTAGAATTTGGTGAAATAGGTTGGATTGTGTCGCACGTGGTGCCGCTGGCTCGGGATCGGGTGGAGAGGTGTGGGAGGCAGGCAGCCCATCGGCCCAGGACCCCAACCCAGCTGGGGAACCAAGCATTATTTTGGGGAGGTGTGCTGCACCCTGGTGAGATCTGTAGAGGAGGAGCAAGTGCCCCAGGGGCATCCACCACAGCAGCTACAGTCATCGGTCAGGGCACGGTCTGGAGCTGGAGCTTTGCCTTGGATATGAACGGGCGTCATAAACACCGTGCTGGCAGCTCTGCTCTGTGCCCCATCCTGAAATAACAGAATCACAGAATCACAGAATGGTAGGGGTTCGAAGGGACCTCTGTGGGTCATCTAGTCCAACCCTCCTGCCGAAGCAGGGTCACCTACAGCAGGCTGCACAGGACCTTGTCCAGGAGGGTCTTGAATATCTCCAGAGAAGGAGACTCCACAGCCTCCCTGGGCAGCCTGGGCCAGGGCTCCGTCACCCTCAGAGGGAAGAAGTTCTTCCTCGGGTTCAACTGGAGCTTCCTGTGCTTCAGTTTGTGCCCATTGCCCCTTGTCCTTCGCTGGGCACCACTGGAAAGAGTCTGGGCCCATCCTCCTGACCCCCACCCTGCAGATATTTGTAGGCATTTCCAAGATCCCCTCTCAGCCTTCTCTTCTCCAGGCTGCACAAGCCCAGTTCCCTCAACCTCTCCTTGTAGGGGAGATGCTCCAGTCCCCTCCTCATCCTCGTAGCGGTCACCCTGTCGTCCACCAAGACACCCAGGTCCCTCTCCACAGAGCTGCTCTCCAGCGGGTCCACCACAAGCTGGTACTGTAAATCACCTTGTTCTGTCTCCCTAGGAAAGTAGGTTTGAAGCAGGCACTATGCCGCAGCGGGCAATTCCCACTGCTGCTGAGGTGTCTGTGACAGGTTTATGACACCAAACTGGGAGGAGTGGTGGACACACTGGCAGGCTGTGCTGCCATTCAGTGAGACCTGAACAGGCTGGAGAGCGGGGCAGAGAGGAACCTGATGAGATTCAGCAAGGGCAAGTGCAGGGTCCTGCACCCGGGGAGGAACAACCCCATGCATCAGTACAGGCTTGGGGCGGACCTGCTGGAGAGCAGCTCTGCGGAGAGGGACCTGGGAGTGCTGGTGGACGACAAGTTGACCATGAGCGAGAGCAGCTCTGCGGAGAGGGACTGGGAGTGCTCTCCAGTCCCAGGAAAAAACTTTGGTGGTGCCTGGGAACCG